GCAGGTAAATTTGGGAGAATTTTCTATTTTCAATTTCGTCATGCTGTTGGACATCGGTTACACGGAATTTATTTTTTTTTTAACATACACGGCAATACCCCTGCCACGTCTGTCACGGTCACGTCTAATCAGTCTATAGTCATAAACAAATAATTCAGAGTCCAAAATACTGTCATGCGCGGATCTAGAGGGGGGTTCGGGGGGTTAGGACCCCCCCCCCCCCCTGGAATTTACCAGGTTAAAAAATGTATATACGAAAACAAGAAAAAGATAATCATGGATCCCCCTTGGAAAACGCTGACCCCCCTGGTAAACGCGAATATGTGTGAAATGGGTATGAAAAGTGAAAGATTTGAGGAATAAAAGTCACCAGTAAACACCCCTCCCCTCCCCGGAAATAGGTTTTTGACGTTTGGATAAATTTGTTTTTTTTTTCTTTTTTTTTTTTTTGCTTGTCAAGAAATTTCTGGGATTGGATTTCGTTTTTTTTTTTGACTGGGGTAGACACCTGAAAAAAAATTCTGGATCCGCGACTGACTGTTGCTAATCACTTTCGGTAACTGCGAAAACATCAAAGGAACCCTTTCGTAATTAAATTTTAACTTGCTAAACAAACCACATGCATTCAAGTGCCTAAAAGAAATGCCTTTCGGTTGCCATGGTAGTGAATCGATAAAATCGTCAGATGATTTTCCAAGATCGTAATTCTTTGATATACATGTATTTTTAACCTAGGAATCACAAATTCACTCTGAAATATTTAGAAAGTTCTGTGCTTCTGTTAGATTTTTTACATTTCCGACATTTTTTTTTCATTTCCGACATAATTTATTTTTCATTTCCGGAATTTAACATGTAGCACTAAGTCTGGGTAAAAGAGTTCAATGAGCATGCATAAAACTTTTTCACCACATTTAATATGCACTAAATTAAATGTCAGTGACAATACCATACTTATATCCAAGTCACTGATATTTGAAAATTGGATTTCAGTGATTTACTGATGATTTATTCCTTTAAATTGTTCATAAGTAAAAGTTGTCAAATCTGTTACTTTAGGTACTACATGTACATATGTATTTGAAAAATGTCGGAAATGAAAACAAAAAAAAAATGTCGAAAATGAAAACAAAAAAATGTCGGAAATGAAAAGTTGATAATTACCAAAAATTCCGGAAATGAAATGCAGCCGGTACATGATATGGTCTGTTGCGTTGACAGGCCCAGGGTTTACCTATGTATCACCGGACAGTAGGAGACATGCATAAGGAGCTAATGAGTGGAACACACACTGTAAAAACAGTGTTTAGAATCTAAACACAAATCTAAACACATTTTTTGTATCACTTTTTTTACACGTTTAGCTCTAAACGTGTCTCATTTCTAAACACGTTAGACTTCATGTGTTTAGTTGCTAAACATGTTTAACCCCTAAACACTTATATCTAAACACATTTTTTGTTTCACTTTTTTTACACGTTTAGCCCTAAACGCGTCTCATTTCTAAACACATCAATATTTAAGTGTTTAGTTGCTAAACATGTTTAGTTCCACAACATTAGATCCAACAGAATAGTTTAATTTATAAACTATCACAGGAAAACATATTTTTGGAAGAAAAACATTATTAAATAAGTTTCCTAGAAATACCATAACATTATTGAACATTCAAACTTAGATTTATTTAATTATTTAATTTTAAATTCAAAATACATACATATTAAAAACTAAAAAAAAATATTTTGGCTCTTGTTAATATTAATCAGCTCAGCAAGCATGCACTTATTCCTCATGTCTGTAACAAAAATTAATCAAGCTTATTATTTTCCTGCAAGTCTTTTACTAGAAACACACGATCATATGTTTTCGTCCATAACTGCCAGGAAGGAATCCGTTCCCATCATACGAATGTTTTAGAGTTGTTTAAAAATATACCGAACAGTATACTTCACAAAATTCAGTTTCCTCTTAAATGCAAGAAATCCTGAAGATGTACGAACAATTGCGTGGACTTGGAAATGACACCAGCTACTCTGAGACATGTATTTTTGCTTCAATCTGGACCATATCCTGTAATAAAGAAATGAAAGTATACAAAAATATGCCCCTTGCTGACTGATAGCTAAACTAACTACTACATGTATTATGCAACCTTTATTGAAATCCATTTAACAATTATGTATATATATGATACAGATATGGATATAGATATTTTCAATGACATTCTATAAACTCCTTTCTAGCTTTCAGGAATGCAAAAATAAAAGAAGAAAATCTTGAAAATCTATACATTTGTGTAATTGCAACGTTTCTCATTCTAGTCAATTTATGTAAAATAATAGAGTAAACAGACCTTTTATTGTAGTATTGTTGCCTTTCAACTGCATTTCACAATCCCTTTCTGGTTATCACTTTGGTTATGATTCGCTTCCCACAAGCCATCTTCTTTTGCTTACACTGGAATTTTCTTTGTTTCGATAACCGCTCTATTAACGTTCAAAAATATTACGCGTCATTTCCGGGAAGATAACTCTGTTTGTTCCAGAAAGTGTTCAATGTCTAAACACTTGAATCTAAACACGTCTTAAATCTAAACACGTTTAGATATAATACATGCTTAGATATAAGTGTTTAGCCGTTAAACACAATCTTAAACATGTTTAGGTCTAAACACGTAATTAAAGTGTTTATTTTCTAAACGCAGTTTTTACAGTGCAGTTACTGCATGATTTGGAAGTTTTATATTCATTAGTCAACAATTTCAGGTGCTGGTAAAAACACTTTTTAATTGAAGAAAAATCACAAAACAGTGTAGTCCGAAATATCTGACGTTTTCCAGGCGTTTTTACGATTTTGAAATATCAAAATCCTTAAAAGGCTAGGAAAACGTCAGATTTTTCGGACTAAAAACAGTGCAGTCCTGTTCAAGCGGCCATCTTATTTTTTTGTGTGTGAACCCTTCAAAACATATAACAACTATATAACAAAATAACCCCTCTGACATTAATTATCATTAATTTATTCTAAAATCTTGAAAATTTATAAATGATACCCCTCTCCCCTCCCCCGCCTACCATTTGTTTATAATGCAAAGTCCATGTATTGCTGTGGCCAGAAAACCCAAAACTTGTGTCAGATCAAAAAGTAAAATAGGCCGTGCACAATGGAAAAATGCAAGAAAGAAAGTTTCATTAAATTTCACTCAGTGATATATTACGGATAAGAGATTGGTACACCAAAGCGTAACAGACAGACGGGCGGACGTACAGCTAGACGGACGGACGGAGACATCGATTATTATATACCCTTCCGCTTTTTAAGCGGGGGGTATAAGAATAAAACTTCAAATCTATTAGTTTTATTCATCTGTCAATTTATCAATATTTGATTCAATATACACTGAGGTCAAAATATCTCGTACAAGCATCTGTATTCTTTATTTTTAATCCATCGTTTGTAAGCATGTAAGTATCACCGGGGAAAATATGTGTCATATACCGGCAACAATAAAACATAAAAATGCTAACGATGGAATAGCACTTTATTATAAACTTAGGTCGGTAGGGTGAATTCTGGAAATCCAAAAATTGCACCCGAACAATCCGAAGCCTAGGAGTTGACTGATGAACAAAAATGCACTAAAGCGTGACATTTAAACCCTTTATGGGCCCCTTCACTTTTGCAAGTCTGTGGAATCAGTCACAATTTTGTCTTTTGGGAATTAAATATCTCTCCTGTGGAATAATTTTATATCATTGATTTTGAGTTGGACCTGTCTTTATCAAGTGAGTGTAAAATTTGTCTTTAGTTTATTTATTTGCTAGTCTTAAGTTAACATGTACGCACAAATAAGTTTTTTAAAAAATTCCTGAAATCGTGGTATCATGAATCCCCCATTATGGAATCTCAAGACCGCAGGGTTATGTTATAATGCCAGACAGACTCTTAGGATGGACACTAACTTTAAAACCATAGTTGTCAGCAGGGCTAGCCATTTATAATTTCTACTAGCCCTGTTCATATATTAGTTGTCCATCAGCCGAAGGCGGGTGGCCGAGTCGCGAAGTGGCGAGGGAGGTAGGTGCGGGAGGGGGCTTCCCCCTCCTGCTGGTGGGGGTACGGGGGGCCTCCACCGGGAAATTCTGAAAATAGAGATGCCAAATCCTGCATTCTGGCTGTATTTTGGGTAAAAATTATATGTATTTTTATGATTGTACCTAAGACATTTTTCTGTTAGAAAAAGTCAACATTTATAATCATTTAGAGTATTTCAAATCACCTTTAAAGTTGACATTTTGACTTACAAAAATAATAATTATGATGATAAAACATGTTTGAAAATAGATTTAATTATTAATTGTTAGATACATTGTGTGCAATTGATAATTGTTTCTGTTGCTCTAAGTGAGAATTTGATAAAATTCTTAGTAGCCCTGCAGGGCAAGTTTAAAGGCATATTTAGTAGCCCGACCTCAATATTCAGTTGTCCCGAGCCAGCGGGCTACCGTTAGTGTCGAACCCAGACTCTGTAGAAGATGAAATCCATTTTATATTTGAATGTTCAACTTATAAACTATATAGGCAAGTATTCATTAAATAAAAAGTTCTCCTCACTTTCAAATAGAAATAAATTTATATGGCTAATGTCAAATGAAAATAGTGATATAATAAATAGTTTTGCAGAATATATATTTAAATGTTACAATAAAAGATCCAATGTTGTCTCAGGATGTTCCTGAAAGTCGAGAATATAATATGCAGACAAGGTAGATATCCACTAAAATTTATGCATGATGTGGCATAATGTTTGCATTTGTGTACTTTTATCATATATTATACATATTCATTGTTGCATATGAATTCAACTATCATTTGGATCTCTTCCTCTCTTTAGCTTTATATTTTTATTTCTGTTGTATTTTTCTTGAATGCCCTTCATGGGCCCAAAATTGGAAATAAATGATATTCTATTCTATTCTATTCTTTCTTTTCTCGATAGAATGGATGCGGGTAAAACCAAACGCTCGAGTGTCAGGCATGAAGAAATTTCAAATGTAAGTAATCACTAGTAAAGAAGATAGGGGAACAAGGCGGGCAGAATGCCTATGGTTCCGAAATGAAGAAATCATATTTAATGTGTGAATTGAGTAATTCAATTAACTTCTAATGATTAATTTTTTTTTGAAATTATAAGAGAAAAAAAAAATTTCTGAGAGAAAAAAATATCGTAAAAATTTTTGTCTTTCATTTAATAGATGGTATTCGTGGGGTTCGAACCCTAGCAATAAAAACCCGACGTATCGGTAGCATATTGCATTGTATTTTAATGCGCAAATTTTTAGGATCATCTTTTTTAAAAATGGACCCACTCATATTGAAAAATTTTGTAAAAAAAAAAAGAAATTTAATGATAATTTTTGTTCTTGTTAGTGTGTGTAAGCTTTTTCATAGGAAAATCATTTCTGTTTTTGTGAGGTTATTGTAAATTTTAGAGATTTTACTTAAAAAATACTTTAATATTAGATGAAATATCAAATAAAATTTGGATTTAATTGAGATTGAAACTTTCACTTCTTATCTATCGCACTACAGGCACTTCGCTCGCTTGTGCAAGAAAATAATTTCATTTTGTACTTTTTGTTACCCCTTTGCACTTTCTCTCTTCATAAACATGGCACACTGTCTTTACTGTACAGGTAAAATACAGAAATAAACTTATCTATTATAATGCTGGCTAAATGTGAAAATCGATAAAACGCAAATTGCAGTTGTAGGATTTATGGCAATAACCTTAAGGTGCCCCACGCCTACAATGAAGGTCAGACTTATGGCTTATAGTGCACTCCACGTATAGGGATATCAATTTACAATCTAAAATCCAAAAAAGGGAGTTGCGTCATATGCATACAGGTATATGAAAAGTGGCGAGATACAGCGGTTTTAATTAAGATGATGTCATGACACTATTAACAAATTAGATAAAAATTCTATTATGTATGCCTAATATGAATTTGCTTTTTGAAAAGAAACTGTATAAAATGTGTAGAAAAAAAATATGTTGGTTTTCATTCATATTGAATTTTTCCAAACTCCAATATAAGTTATTGAAGAAAGAACTGAATAAATGAACTGTGTTCTTTGGCTGCCCTCGTGCCTCATATGCACAATAGTTGCATGAGACTTTGACTTTGCCTTATTTTTTTCTCCTTTTAAAAAATCAAACATTTTGCATTTGTTGTGGTTGAATTGTTTACATTCTAAGGCGGGATGTTGAGGGCCATCACTTTTCAAAAAGAGCAAAGAAATTCTAAAATGTCTCATAATACACGTTAAAAACATATATCAAGGGGTGAGCCTATCAAGGAAGGCCCAAGCATTTACGGATCCGGTTTTAATTGATATACCTATTGTCACTTTTCTAATACACCTATTGTAACTTTTCTAATGAAATTATTTCTTACATGATATTTCAACTATAAATATCAACAATTGTGTAAATAAAAAAAAGAAAAAAATGTCGCTGATTTTTTTTTAAAGTACGGTATCCATAACGTTCCTAACGTTAGATCGTGCGGTCAATATTTATATTATTATAGCAACTGTTAGTTTATTTTGAAAGTTCAACGATTTGCATTAATTCCCCTCAGAAATAAATTCTAAAAGCTAAATGTAGGTTAATTGTTGTTAATAATCGTTTGTTATAAAATTATCAAAAAACTGAGTACAGAATGTAACCCCCCCCCCCCCCCCCCCTTGGGGGAGCAGAGTGGGAAAAAACTGCTGTAACGTTAGTCCTGCGACGATTGATTTTCGTGAACCTTACAGATCCTGATAGAACATAAAAGAAATCTAGAAATTATTTTATTTATTTTGATGACGTCACTTCCGGTTTGGAGATTTTTTGCGATTTTGTCATTTTTAGAGGGTCACTTTGTCCGGCGATGTTCTCAAAAACCGTTGAAATGAAATTTCAGTGATGACTGAGCAACCTTGGAGAAGTGAATTCAGTATATCGTTGTCACCGGAAGTACGATGCGCCGACGCTCGCTATCGTCCGACAATAGTCCTTTCAAGAATTTCAAAAATTTTGACACCTTTTCATCGATAACTTTTTACTTAGAAATAATTGTTAAAACATTTATAATAAAAGAAGTGTAGAATTCTAAGATCTTTCAAATGAGATCTCAAAAAAAGGTAGTCTCGTTTTCCCCAGACTCTCGCTCTCGAGACTTTGCCCGAGTGAGATTCTCTTAGTCTCGTTTTCCCCAGACTCTCGCTCTCGAGACTTTGCCCGAGCAAGTCTCGAGAGCGAGAGTCTGGGGAAAACGAGACTAGAAAAAAAGGGCTGGTCCCTAAAATAAAGGGCCTAGGGGGGAGGGGGGCAGAAGTATTTCCTATATATGTTAAAAAAAAAAAAGTATTGAGAATTTGTAATACACCAAAGAAGCAAAGTTCAGAGTTGTCAAAATGTCGAGCTAAATCTATTGGAGTCGTCAAAATACGTCCAGTAACGTGACTTCCGAAGTAGTCGGAAAAAGGTCATAAAACACTGTTAAACATATATCGAATCTAAAAGTCGAATATCTTTGGATATGGGGTAACCCATATCTATTATTGTATAAATACAGTAAATAAGACATTTTTTTAACGTGCTAATTTCAGCGAATTTATATTTTAATTAACACTGGCGGATTTAGAGGGGGCCCAGGGGGCCCGCCCCCTTTTGTGTCCCAAAAATTAAACAATATTTAGTAAATGAATGTTTTTTGGTGTGGCTGTGGGCCCCTACCCTGACATGAAACTGGTCGGGCTCCCCTTTTCAAAATTTCTGGATCCGCCACTGATTATGAGTGTATTCAGACACACAATACACAAAGCACACCACCCTGAAACCAAGAGCCTATAGCTGTGATGTTAGGATGGAATAGGCTACATAAAAATTTTGCCAAAAAAAAAAACGGACATCATTGATACTGCTTCCATTCATATTCATCTCTTGTGAAATTTTACATCGGGATCGAAGTTCCAATTCAAGACAATGGTGGCCTGATAGGACGCGGTTTGCTCGCTGAGATTAGGGGATGACCTGGCACGCGATGCTGAATTTTGGTTGGAATTGCTTACACCAATTGAGTTTCGTTTGTTAACATAAGTATATATTTCTTAACTAATAATATGTCTGAAGATGCAGTCTGTTGGAGGGGAGTATATATTTCTGTGAAATTCAGTATAATTTGAAAGCAGACGACAAATACAGTTGTGTGCCAAAAGTGAAGATAATTTTTTTTTCTTTATATATTTCATAGAAAACGATATTTTGTAAAATCGCTGGTATGACAACATTTCTAGACAGATTTTATCAAAAATTTCTTGATAATCCAAGAGATTGTTGTAGTTAAAAACAACAATAATTTTTATCTGATAAGCATTGATAATTTAAAAATATTGTAATTTAAGTGTGATATGATTTTTAAGTCATATATTCACAATGAATTATATAGTCAACATTGATCTTGAATTTTAGAACTGATGTTTAGTGATGAACTATTATTTTACTACATATTAAACATGTAATGATATTTTAAAGAAAGATAACTACACATTTTCTGGTTTAAGTACTGAAATAAATAATTAAATTGGACAAAAATTGACCCTTTACCTATGATTTTACAAAATGTTGTTTTCAATGAAATATATAAAGAAAAAATAAAATTATCTTCACTTTTGGCACACCACTGTACAATGTAGCCATACATCTCAAGCGCGGATCCAGGAATTGAAGTAAGAGGGGGCGCCAAAAGTAAGCCGAGCGATGTCGCTGTTTCTGGATAAAACCTAGCATATTAGGTATTGATAGAACTGTGAACAGCAAATTTTATAAGCTTCCCGAAATTTTTGTTGTGTTAAAGTATATTAATCGTTTTGTCAGATTTTTCTGTATTCCATTCCCAAATTCTAAATAGCTGACTTGTTTCAATTTCTGCTTCGATTTTAAAAATAATAGATTTATTGCTAATTTTTTATTAAAAGGATTATTTTCACTTGGGGTTTCAGTGGCGAGAATTTTTACAATGGATGCTAGAGGTTACGCTGCGCCAGGTCAAAAGTATCTCGCCGTGAACCTTTAGCGTGCTGGAGTATTGTACCTCCAACAGTTTGATCAGCGATTTTTTTTCACCCATTAGGAAAGGGTCCAGTACGGTTCATTTGGGAAAAATAACATCAAAGAAAATCAAAGGAGAATTTTCTCTTTTAATGCAAATGCAACATATTTTGCATTTTTTCCAACTTCTAATTACCCATAACTGCTTGTTTTAAAGAATAAACAACAAGTACCTAATTATTGTTTTTGAGATTGTCAGTTCAGACAGATTTCTATCAACAGCGTTAAACGTTAATTTTTCCTAATTCTGTGACTAAAAATTCCCAATTCAACTGTGAAGCAAAAGATTCCAGCGACATCGTATTTCTTGTTAGATGAAACATTGTACAAGTTGACCAATTCTTTCACTTCCGCTTAAATGCAGTCTTCACGAAAACTTTTCAAACTAACTGGCCAGTCGGACCAGTTAACTTTCAAAATTTACTAGCCCACCAAAATTTTTACTGGCCCCTTACTTAAAAAATAAAATAAATACATTTTTCATTTATACATGTTTACGTACTTCAACTTTTAAAATGCCGCCATTTTTCGCCCTTTGTCGCGTTTCGGTAGGTTGTTCGTTGGAACTTTACACATTTTATGTACAAGTTAATAATTACTTGCTAGTTCCGGTTGTTACATAATACATCCATGTTATAATAGGGTTATAATAATACGATTCAACAACACGAGCTTGTTCTTTTTATTTTATATAATGAAATTTATGCAAGTGAGTCAGTTGAAATAAATATTGACTGTGTATGATTTTTATAATCAACAAGCCCATCGGACTTCTTGAACTTTGATTTTCACTGACCCGACCTCAAAATTCACTGGCCTCGGTCTGCGGACCAGTGAGTTTTCGTGAAGACTGTAAATGGAAAGTAGAGAAAGTTGTAATTTGGCGGGAGCAGTGGTTTAGACAGCGTAGTGTCATACATTAGACGTTAATGTCCACAGTACCTCTAGTTTCTCTTCAACCATTGTAAATACAAATAAATTATTTGTAATCAATTAATTTAACTTTCTTAGGCATGGTGTCTGAGACGTATATTTTTTAATTAAGTGTCAAATTGAATAAAAATCTCTAGGGTATCCGGAACTTGTCAGCTTATTCATTACTGGTAAAATGGACACCTATGGTAACTTGCAAAATATTTTTTTTGAGGGAAGGCTGAACTTTTATGAAACAATATTTTATTCCACAATTTATCGAACTATCTTGACAAAACACTTATATTTTGAAATTATGCCTAGTATGTTTATAGCTCCGCCAAATTGGTTTCTTATTCAGAACTGGTCAAATAACGTACTGTACCCGCCTTGTATGTACACAGTTTAAAAAAAAAATATTGGTAAATTTTTATTATTTCAAAAACAATTGAGAGTATTTTTATCCATGCAATATGTTATGAAATCATGTTTTGATTATCTTATCTTTGTATATATATTAATACAATCTACACCATGTTCAATATTGTTGTGAAGTTAAATCATAGAAATATATAGGAAGAATATTTCAATGACAGCAAAGCCGTGATTGGTCATATTTTAGTTGGGTGGGAATGGGGGGGGGGGGCACAATGTATGTTCAAATGTAAGGGCTATACAGCCACAGGTAGTCAAAGAAATATGCAAGCATCCTTAGAGTAGATTTTTGCTTTTTTCCTAGCCACACTGCTCAGGTGAGCTATTAGATCTTCAGGGGAAATTTTCTCTAGGAGAAAAACACTGAATATTGGTAGTTAAAGTATATGGCCTATCAGTCAGCATTTGACTCAGTGATAAATTGTATTAAATGAGACTGACAGGGCTCGACATTAACACATGTCCGCTTGTGCGGTACCAGAAAAAAAGAAATAAAGTATGGACAAGTGAATATTGCAGGGCACTAAATGTTTGATTGGACAAGACATTGCATTTTAATATAAAGGAGTCTATAATTAATAAAAAGAACGACTGTTGACAGCTAATTGGTAGTTTCAAGATGGAAGCTGTAGTCATAAAAGCCCAGACTTTGATCCCGATTTGTATCTCTATATGCAGGTGATGAAGGTATATTGCTGCATAAGTAAGGGTGTTGACTAATACAAAGTTAAAGTCATCACGTTTATCATATAACTTGGTTGTGTCAGACTGTCACTCTTTGGTATCTTATCTCAAGCTCGCCAGGATATATCATATCAACATAGGAATGAAATTAAAGCCCCAGTGCTGAAGTAGGATATCAAAGTTGAATAAGAAGGTTTTTGTTGAAAATCTGAGTATCCTGATTGCTAGCTAAAAAACTCCTTTTAATTTATATGAATCAAATTTCATATCTTATTCTTATAAAATTTCTTAAAATAATTGATGAATAATTTTTTGTCTTCATGCAGGCACCATCTGCACTGGAGGCTCATGAAGATGCTGTGAAGCACATCAAACTGCAGAAGGATAAAGCAGGATGTGAAGTTAGGCCTGTAAATGACATAATTGGCAAGTGCACATAGAATTTTTAAAGTTATTTTATACCCGGTATATGATTTAAACATCCAGGCAATGGTCAAAGTTCTAATGTATATAAAGTACTGAAAGACATCAAATTCATTCATTTAGTGTTAAACTCAGATGACCTATTGCTATTTGTTTTCATTTGACATGCATCATTTGTTGTGTTTTAACATTCGAATATTTTCAGCTTCTCTGCAACTACTCAACCAATTTCAACCAAATGTGGCAAAAAACATGTATAGTGAAGGAGAATAAAACTTGTTTATTTCATGGTCCCTGTCCCCAATCACCCCTCCCACCCCTTTGGGCCTGAGGGGTGGTGCAAAAAATACTAAAATTAATGCAATTTTTTGAAAAAAAAGTCATTTTGTATCCCCCGCAAACGAAGTTTTGGGGGGTGTATATAGGAATCAGCTTGTCCTTCTGTCCATCTAGCTGTCTGTCCATCAATCTGTCTAGCTGTATATGCAAACGTGCCTGGTCCATATCTTAATAGAGGAACATTAGAATCTACTACTCCACACAAATCTTGCCGAAGACCTAAGGGTGTGTCATGAACTTGACCCAAGGATATTTGGAGAAGTTCAAGCTAGGTCACTGGAAGAAAAATTTGGTAATTCGTGTCTGGTCCATATAGGGCTGGGTATTGGCCCGAGATTTCATATTGCGATATATTGCGATATTTTTAACTGTATTGCGATATGTATTGCAATATTTTCAGTGTAATAAAAATGGCATTTTCTTACTTTATTTACTTTAATATACATGCAGAATGTACATAACTTTGATAAGTAACCAATACGAAAAAAAAAACTTGTTGATTTCATTTAAGTTATGTTCTGAAATGTTACCACAAACAACTTCTGTCTTAATGTTTGGCTTAATAACAAAGTTTCATAAGTCTATTTTTATATTAAATGACAAAATTCCTTAATATTATTATAGTATATTGCCAATATATCAATATTTCAAAATCGTATTGGGATACGATATATTTTGACATTGTATTGCAATATATTGAAATATCGATATTATTGCCCAGCCCTAGGTCCATATCTTTCTTATGGATAAACTTTGTAGGTTCTCATTTCACAAAAAGATTACCCATGACCTAAGGGTGTGTCTTGAGATTGACTTACTGTATACAGGGAAATTTTCGCCCCCATTTTATTTTCGCCCCTTTCGCCCTAGCCTCCTTTGGGCGAATTTAAAAAGGGGCGAATTAAAAGTATAAAGTATAACTTCTCAAACAAAAGGGTTACTGGGCGAAATTAAAACGGGGCAAAATTGTTTGCAAGTGTGAAAGGGCGAAAATAAAACGGGGCGAAAATAACCCTGTATACAATATTTATTGAAAAACCTATCAAAATCCCATCGGAGTTTTAAATCATGTACCGGGTATGTATTGATCAATATTCAATCACTATATTGCATGTACATGATAAATAGTATACTGTTTTTGTCCCCCGCTTGAAAAGTGGGGGATATTAATTTGGGTTTGTCCGTCCATCCGTCTGTCCGTCCGTCTTTCTGTCTGTCTTTAACGCTTTCGTTTCCACACGATATCTCGAGAACCCTTTCAGCTTTTGCAATGAAGTTTTGCATAGCTACTCCCTATGAACTAAGGAAGACCTCTTTTGATTTTGAGGTCAAAAGATCAAAGGTCAAGTTCATAAATTTGCAAATTCTGTCTGTTACAACACTTTCGTTTCCACACGATATCTCGAGAACCATTTGAGTTTTTGCAATGAAATTTTACATAACGACTCCCTGTGGCCTAAGGAAGACCCCTATTGATTTTGAGGTCAAAAGGTCAAAGGTCAAGGTCATAGATGCATACATTCTGTTTGTGTGTAACACTATTCTTTTCGGGGGATATTTCAAGGGTATTTTGAGCTTTAGCAATGTAATTTTATACCAAAAGTCCCTAGGACCTCTCTCACCCCTCTCAAAGAGTCCCGATCCGTTTGTTTTAATAGCATTTTATGTATTACATGTCGCTATTTTAGCACAGGGGCATGAAGGAGAGTTATTACGTATAAAACAGGTTCTCGGCGGACTTTATATTTCTTAATACATCTATTAGAACTGTTTAATAAAGCTTAAATTAGACACCATACATTGTGTAAAATTTTGACAATATATCGAACGTGAATATATGCATGTATGTGACTTCATATGTGTATATAATTTTCAGTATTTTAAGGGGGCTTCTTGGTCTAGTGGTATGTCTCTCACTTTAGATGCGAGAGGGCCCGGGTTCGATTCCCGGACAATCCAATTTTTTTTTTCGAAAATACTTTTTTTTACTAAACGATAGTATTCAGCATGTGAAATGAAAGATTTCTGAGGTCTGGTTTGTACAAACTCATAAAATCATCATAACAGTGTGATAAATATTCCATATAAAAAGGATCTTCTACACACATGATAAAGAATAATCAATCAAACCTTTTTATCCATATTGGCATATTTTATTTGTTTCAGTATACACTTAATTATTCTACAAATTCAGTCAAAGGATCCGACCCCCCCCCCCCCCTCCAACTGTGCATGGTTTACTTATGGTTTACTTTTTCCCTAAGCGGGGGACACAAATTCTCTGAATTAGCTTGTTTAATTAAATTTTTGCGCCATAGAGGCAGCAATTGTGAGCTACGCCAGGTACCAAAGTAATGTGTGCCGACATGATTAAAATGAATTACTACAATGTATAGAGAACTGCTCTTTAATATCTACCAACTGTGGAACATTCTTAAACCTTACTAATTGCCTACTATTATTAGAAATGCACGTAACACAGCATTACACTAAAATAGCAGAAAGAGAGTCAGGGATTTCCAGTTGCATATTTTTAGAATAACAAGTGGAGTTATCTATCTGCTTATAGTGGCGCTGGATCCAGAAGTAGATTTATGCTGACAGAAAGCCCTTTGGGCTGCGCTTAAAAATGAAATCGATTCCAAATGAATTTTGCACGTTTCTTACACACGATTCTTGCGCTAAAGTCGCACATTTCTTACACGGATCTGAAACATATGTGACAGGGTTTGCCCGAAACAAAATTAAGAAATCGCAATCATGTCAGATGAGAGAAAAACGTGAAAATTACAACCCGTGAAATTAATCCCCTATACAGTACTTTGTTGAGGTATGCAGTATGGTGGGATTTATTTTTATATGAATCTGATGCAGCAAAGATATTAATACCCTTAAACTGCACTTAAAAGTTTTGTTTTATTAAGATGTGTTAAATTATTTGTTTTAATAATAGGAAAGGGAGTGTTTGCATTGAAAGAGTATAAAAAGAGAGAATTCATCCTGGAGTATGATGGTAAACTAATATCCTATGAAGAAGGTGTATACAGGGAAAGAGAATACCCACCATCAATGGGGAGCTACATATATTTCTTTTCTTCAAAAAGAAAAAGATTGTGGTATGTTTTTTCTTTTATTTAAGACACCTGACTGTGACCTGAGTGAACTCAGGTGTCCTGTTGCTATCCGTTTTCATCAGTAGAGTTGTGGAAAACTGTCGGTCATGCCGGCAAAACCGGCTTAAAATTCGCATGACCGGTAAAAATGCTATCAATGTCGGTCCAAATGACCGGCCCCTTTTTTAGTTAAAGTTTTTTTGTTTTGTGCATTTCCCATCTAATTATTTTATCTTATATGCAATTGCATAATACCTTATCTTTAAACGAGATCGAGGCTGTAAATGAAAGCGAAACTAGCATGGTTCTCGTGACCTATTAAACATGTTAAATTCACAACTGGGGCCGAGTTAGGTAGAAAACATATTAAAGAAAAACTTCAGATAAAGAGGAGCTAAATATGAAAAATTTCAACAGAAAGAATTCAAGCAGAGGTGGAGACAGCATTTAACCTAGTATTTCCGACTGTCCCGGATTTTTGTTTTTTTTTTTCTCGGATCGTGTTGATATTTTTATTATTAGATTATCGATGCTAAGAATTTTTAGACCCATTATCTAGTTCTGAATAAGCATTGCCACCTGCCAAAAAGTGGTGGTATAATTGTATCTAGTATTGTTATAAATGCATTTAATTAAAAGAAAACAGAAGAGTACTTGGAAATTGAGACTTAATTTTGTTTTATTAACAACACAACTAATTAAATAGATGTGTTATAAAACGAATAAATGTTATGCTTTTCTCCATTTTGCGACTTACTATTTCCGACCGACAAAAATCACTTCGGACCGGCTTAGTTTGTTTTCTTGCCAGTCCGAATGACCGGCTATCTGAAAAAGTTTTCAAAAACTCTGCATCAGTCAATTTCCACTGTGCATTAACATTTCAACATTTTTAGCTCACCTCAAGAAAGTTGGGGGAGCTTATGTAATACCCTTGGCGTTGGAGTTTTTTGAGCAGTTTTCTTTTTAAGTACTTCTCTGTCCTATATTGATTAGACGTGCATGGAAGATGCTTCTAGTGTGTTTCATTGTACCAGTCAAAGTTTCAGATGCTGCAATTTCAGCAAATGAATAACCAGGTTAATGTTGTTGGAGCAGGTCAACTATTTTGGAGCAGATTTGGGTGTTGGTCTCATCTCTGAGTAACTATAAGCCCTATGTTGACCACACTTGCATGGATGATACATCTTAGGATGCATAGTACCAGACTTGCATCGGATGCTGAATCTTACCTAATTTTCCGGTTGAGTGAACAGGTTAATGTTTTCAGTGCAGGTCTCATTTCCAAGTAACTATGAGCACTTTAGTAACCAAACTTGCATGGATGATACATCTTAGGATGCATTCTACCAGACTTGCTTCAGATGCTGAACCTGACCTACATTTTCCAGTTGAGTAAACAGGTTAAACACTTTTTGTTAGTTAATTGTGTGACAAATGCCTAATGCTTAAAGACAACATTCGTTGAGGTGAGCTCTGTAATATCTGATTACCTATGTTTAGTATTTTAGGTACCAGCCTAATCTTGCGCAAACTGCCTACTTTCACACAAGTTGTATAAATATATAAGGCGCCTTTTGTCATTTGCACAAGTTTGCACTTGGTTATGCTCTTAGTACAGTAAAACCAGGTTATAATGAAGTCACAGGGACTGATAAAATTACTTTGCTATACCATTACCATTACCATTAATCATTACCGTATAAAGAATTTGTTTAATTTATTGCCCTGTTCACGAGTTTGATTCGCAGTAAATTAATGCAAAGTAAACTAATGCAATCAAATTAATGTGAATTAAATTGCGTTCACACGACAGCTAATGCTAAGTAAATTAATGCGAATTAAAATTTTTCTTCCACATTCAGGTGTCAGTAAGTCTATTATGACGTCATTTTGAAAGGTGTTGCCTTTGTTACTAAAAATAGAAATTTCTGTGAAATTCTTTCAAAATGCTATTCCTCCCACAGTTTTGGTCTGATTTTAATATAAGGCCTTGAAAAAAATATGTTTGTTTCCGCTTTCAGGCTGAAAAAATATAGGGTAGATAGGTAGGCAATTTTTTTTTTTTTGAAATTTTTTTTTACTTCATCAATCAAAATGTATATATGGAAGTAACATTAATGACAAAACAAATGGTGTTTTCAAGGTGACTCAAACTTTTTTCTGTCTTGAAAAGCTTACAAAGTTGGAGACTATAATTCCTTGGGTACATAATTCTATATACTGTAAACCAACTTTTATTCACATGCGAGAAATTTTCGCGAATTTCACGAGAGCGTTGTTATCGCGAATATTTCTGGCCGCGAACCAGTCCTTAAAGTGTATGTGTCTATTAACAACAGATCCAAAAAGGCTTGATCGCAAAAATAAATCGTCGCGAACCAGTTTATCCCTGGTAAGTTGCGAAATAAGTTGTCGCGAATAAAAGTTGGTTTACAGTATTGGTTTTTGATTTCAATAAATGGTGTTGCCATGGTTACTAAAAATAGAAATTTCTGTGAAATTCTTTCAGAATGCTATGTCTCCAACAGTTTTGGTCTGATTTCAATTTAACTTGGCACACAAGTAGACTACACTAAGATACATAATTCTGTGTATCAGTTTTGATATTGATGAACGGTGTTGCCTTTGTTACTAAAAATATAAATTTCCGTGAAATTCTTTCGAAATGCTACTCCTCCCACAGTTTTGGTCTGATTTTAATATAACTTGGCACACAAGTAGTCTACACTAAGATACATAATTCTGTTTTTGTGGTTTTAAATTTTTCGATGAACAGTGTTTCTGTTATTACTAAAAATAGAAATTTCTGTGAAATTCTGTCAAAATGCTATGTCTCCTACAGATTTGGTCTGATTTCAATATAACTTGGCCCACAACTAGACTAAACTAAGACACACAATTCTTTGTATCAGTTTCTGACTGATGAACATTATTGCCTTGGTTACTAAAAATAGAAATTTCTGTTAATACTCTCAATATGCTACTCCATTAGATTAGTTTTAGTCTGATAATAATATATAATGTGGCAAGCAAGTAGACTTCACTAAGAACATTAAGATACCTAATCAAGGGTCATTATTCTATTTATTACTGTTGTAAAGTTTCAATTTCCCTGCTGTCTGTCGGTCTGTCTGTCGGTCCACTTAGTTTCCGTTCATTTTCTTCGCAACCCTTGCACATACTGAAATGAAATTTTGTATACAGATACATCACATGAATATCTAGGTCAAGTTCTGTTTTGTGTACGATCCGCACCATTTTTGACACAGTTATGCCCTTTTGGATTTAGAAAAATTCCAATTTGGGGGGAAGGGGGCATAAGTGATTTACAAACATCTCTTGTTGACAGAGTTATGCCCCTTGGACTTAGAAAAATTCCAGTTATTTGCAGTTTCCATACATTTTCCTGGCAACTGTTGCACGAACTGAAATGAAATTAAGTACAGATTTATCAGATGAATATCTAGATCAAGTTATGTTTTGGGTATAATTGCGCCATTTTTGCCCTTTTTGACTTGGAAAAATTCAAATTTTAGGGGAGGGGGCATAAGTTTTTTACAAACATCTCTTGTTCATAATGGCTTACGATCAGGTTTGTGCTGAGGTATATTCTGATGGTCAACATGGTAAATATTAAGCGAGAAAAAGATGTTAAAAAAACGAGTTTAATTTTCGTCTTTATGTGGATTATCTTATTTTAGGCAAAAGACATTCATAACCTCTAAATTAAGCAGTTTTACCTTGGTCATATGACTTCTGCATACATGTATTATAAAATGACATCCTGAAGGAAAAAGGGAACCCTGTAGGGGACATGTATTTCTTATGCAATACTCTCAGAATGCTTGTTATTTAAAAATGTAAAATGATAATTATATACATTGATTTTTAGCTCTACTGGTCAGAGACCAGAAGAGCTTATGCGATAGTAAATGTGTCCGGTGTCCGTCTGTCTGTTTGTCTAGCTGTCCGTCTGTCTGTAAACAATTCCTCAAAACGCTACTCCTCCTACAGTTTTAGTCTAATTTCAATATTACTTGGCACACAAGTAAACTACACTTAGATACAAAGAAAAGTGCATTGGTTTTTAATTTCGATGAACGGTGTTGCCATGGTTACTAAAAATAGAATTTTCTGTGAAATTCCTTTAAAACGCTAATACTTCTACAGTTTTAGTATGATTTCAATATAACTTGGCACAAAAGTAGGCTACACTAAGATACATAGAATAGTGCATCGATTTTCGATTGCGGTGAACGGTGTTGCCATAGTTACTAAAAATAGAATTTTTAAAATGCTACTCCTTCCACAGTTTTGGTCTGATTTCAGTATAACTTGGCACACATGTAGACTACACTAAGATAATAGAATAGTGCATCAGTTTTTGATTTTGATGAACGGTGTTACAATGGTTACTAAAAATAGAATTTTCTGTGAAATTCCTTTAAAACACTACTCCTTCTACAGTTTAAGTTTGATTTCAAAATAAGTTGGCACACAAATAAACTACACACATATACATAAAATACTGCAATGGTTTTTGATAAGTACAAACCAGTAGAGCTACAGTCTTGACAGAGACTTCTGGTTTTCAGTACTGTAGGTCACTTAATTTTCGCGACACCTTATTTTCGCGAGATAGTCATTGACCTTGATAAGCGAGACAAAATTTTCATGAATTGTGGTTATTGCTCTATATAATCTTAAGGAATACTATTATACGCGAGAATTAAATTTTTGCGAGCACACTGTTTTGCGTAATTGCGCGAAAATAAAGTTCTCGCAAATATAAAGTAATTTTTGCTTTTATTACAGTATTGATGCAACATTTTCGAAAAGAATTGGGCGGTATGTGAATGATGCCGCCAAAAGTAACCATGAAAACAATGCCGAAATGGTCCAACTGTATCTTGATGGTAGACCTTATTTGGCGTTGTTTGCAACACGGTATATTAAGCCTGGGGAAGAAATAAGATACGATTATGGTGTGAAAGACTTGCCTTGGAGATTAGAAAAGGTAAGTTGGTGTTTGAATTAAGTACTAAATGCTATTACATTTTTTTAGCTCTACTGGTCAGAGACCAGAAGAGCTTATGCGATAGTAATGCGTCCGGCGTCCGTCCGTCTGTCTGTCTGTCTGTCTGTCTGTCCGTCTGTCTGTCCGTCTGTCTGTAAACAATTCCTCAAAACGCTACTCCTCCTACAGTTTTAGTCTAATTTCAATATTACTTGGCACACAAGTAAACTACACTTAGATACAAAGAAAAGTGCATTGGTTTTTAATTTCGATGAACGGTGTTGCCATGGTTACTAAAAATAGAATTTTCTGTGAAATTCCTTTAAAACGCTAATACTTCTACAGTTTTAGTCTGATTTCAATATAACTTGGCACAAAAGTAGGCTACACTAAGATACATAGAATAGTGCATCGATTTTCGATTGCGGTGAACGGTGTTGCCATAGTTACTAAAAATAGAATTTTTAAAATGCTACTCCTTCCACAGTTTTGGTCTGATTTCAATATAACTTGGCACACAAGTAGACTACACTAAGATACATAGAATAGTGCATCGGTTTTTGATTTAGATGAACGGTGTTGCCATGGTTACTAAAAATAGAATTTTCTGTGAAATTCCTTTAAAACGCTACTTCTTCTGCAGTTTTGGTCTGATTTCAATATAACTTGGCACACAAGTAGGCTACACTAGGATACATAGAATAGTGCATCGGTTTTTAATTTAGATGAACGGTGTTGCCATGGTTACTATAAATAGAATTTTCTGTGAAATTCCTTAAAAACGCTACTCCTTCTACAGTTCTAGTTTGATTTCAGTATAACTTGGCACACAAGTAGACTACACTAAGATACATAGAATAGTGCATCGGTTTTTAATTTCGATGAACGATGTTGCCAGGGTTACTAAAAATAGAATTTTCTGTGAAATTCCTTAAAAACGCTACTTCTTCTACAGTTTTGGTCTGATTTCAATATAACTTGGCACACAAGTAGACTACACTAAGATACATAGAATAGTGCATCGGTTTTTAATTTCGATGAACGATGTTGCCATGGTTACTTAAAATAGAATTTTCTGTGAAATTCTTTAAAAACGCTACTCCTTCTACAGTTTTGGTCTGATTTCAGTATAACTTGGCACACAAGTAGACTACCGTAAGATACATAGAATAGTGCATCGGTTTCTGATTTCGATGAACGGTGTTACCATGGTTACTAAAAATAGAATTTTCTGTGAAATTCCTTAAAAACGCTACTCCTTCTACAGTTCTAGTTTGATTTCAAAATAAGTTGGCACACAAATAGACTACACAAAGATACATAAAATAGTGCAATGGTTTTTGATAAGTACGTACCAGTAGAGCTACAGTCTCGACAGAGACTTCTGGTTAAAATACCTGCCGACTGTGTCATTCATTGATGGTTTGAAATAAAATCGGGTTTGATGTACACCTTATTTCTAATGAATCATGTAAACATGTTGACATAGCTTGTGTTAATCAAAGTCTTTTATGAGTTTCTTGCTGATTATGATGTTGTAACCAGTTTAAGGAACTAGTTTATCACACTTCGCAGGTTCTATCAACAAGCAAGAATGTCATTTAAAGACATTTATAGCAAGCGCAGCGAGCGCCCCGAAGCGACACTCATAACTGCAAGTTCTTACGACAATGCCAGGGCGAAGAGAAAATTCGGGCTACTGCACATTCATTCCATAGAATTTTTTTTTTCCGCAGTAATTTTGACCCACATTATATCGCTTCATGCACTAACATCAAAGCAACGTTCTAGTGAGAAAATTGCAGAAAATAACTGTATACTACTAAGCTGATTGAAATCAGCCCTGTTCAGGCTTCGGTTTGGTAAAGCAACGAATGATGTCATGTGACATCAGAGTCTTAAATGCACCGAATCTCATGTGCAGTTTGAAGAGGCCGATCTAAATGAAAACTGGATATTGAGTATCTGCACTTGCCCTAATGGTCACACTCTAAACATATTGGACAGTAATTTTAAATCCAATGATGAAAACAAGGGAGTTCTTGAAATGGGAGTTAAAGCATTGACAACCTAAATACACCAGACCAAAGTTTTATTTTTTTTATTATGACCCCGACTTAACAAATTTTGATATTTAATTTATTTTTATTTTGTCCCCCTGACCAAACTTTTTCTTAAAAATTCCTGTTAAACAGAAAATGAAAAAACTCTGGCCTAATGTCCTGAGTATTGGCCACCCTTTTTCAGTTCACCTAAGTGAGCTTTTCTGATCATGTTTTGTCCATCGTCTGTCTGTCCGTCCGTCGGTAAACTTTTCATATTTTTGACTTTTTCTCAAGAACCAATTGGCCAAATTAACCAAACTTGGTAGAAAGCATCCTTTGGTGAAGGGGATTTCAAATTGTAAAAATGATGGACCAAGTCTCCATGCAAGGGGAGAAAATCAAGAAAAGACAAAAATAGGGTGGAGTCATTAAAAAATCTCCTCAAGTATCACTGCACCACGAAAGCTGAAACTCATGTGGAAGCATCCTTGGATAGTGTAGATTTTAAATTATAAAAGACATGATCCCGATGGATAGGATGGGGCCAAAATAGGGAATCCAAGTTTTACATAGAAATATATAGAAAAAATCAGGAATCTTCTCAAAAACCACTGGGCCAGGAAAGCTGAAACTTATGTGGAAGGATCCTTGTGTAGTAGAGATTTTAAATTGTAAAAATCATGACCCCCAGGTGTCGGTCAGGGCTTTAACAGGGAATCTAAGTTTTACATAGAAATATATAAAACAAATCTTTAAAAATCTTCTTCTCCTCAAGAACCACTGGGCCAGAAAAGCTGAAACTTATGTGGAAGTTTCCTGGGATAGTGTAGATTAATATTTCAAATTGTCTTAATTATTACTTGTGGGGTAGGGTGGGGTCACAATATGTATTACAAGTGGGAAATCTGGTAAAGAACAGCATGGTCAATTCACAAAAATATTTTTCTATTTCTTTGCTGAGGTATCAGGGATCGAAATTAACTTTTTTAACCACAGGCTAATTTTAGCCTGTACATATAAAATCTACAGGCTAAAATGAAGATCAACAAGCTAAAATTAAAAGAAGGATTAAATGTCTTTTTCATGCTCATTTAAATCAATAATACAGGTCCTTCTATGGTAGGTCAGTAGAGAATTAAGAACATCAATGTTTTTACATTTAAAAAAAAGGTAATCTGGCCTAAAAAAAAAAAAAAAACACACACACACACACATACACACAAAAATTAAAATATATTTATTTCCTGTAATTCCTGTAACATTCCAAAAAAGAAAATCAATATGATCAAGGGTAGGTAGGTTGGGATTTTTGGCTACTGAATAAGGGGGTCAATCATCCCGGGCATAATTAACCAGGTGTGATATTTACAGCGGGCACCTAACATGGCTGTCTAGCTGCTGAAAATGATCTTTAAAAAGTCATGGGAGAAATTATTTGGTGTAAAACTAATGATTACTCTTTTTATCTAAGGTAAATTTTCAGAAGGTTGACACATTTTATTTGTCAAATAAAACTACAATGAAACATTTTTGTTTAAATTGCATCAGCTGATTGGGAAATGGTGACAGAATCAACCGAGGTTTACCGAATCAGGCGAATGCATTGTGACTCTTTTAAAATTTCAAAAAAGCAAGACGAATTACCAGAAAAATATGGATCCAAGACTACTTGGGTCAAAAATCACCACTCGCTAAAAATTTCGAGTGTCTTCTATTTTTGCTCGCTGTTTTAAAAATCAACTCGCATTTTGCGAGTATTTCTCGCTAATTTCGAACCCTGGGTATGCGATATGGTGGGATTCATTAATTTGTTTAAATCTGATGTCAACTTCCTGTTTGTCTATGCATCAAATTTAGACATAGATTAAAATTACACGAGGACTCCCATGTCAATATTTCAAATGTCCTCACCCATTGACGTCAAACACAAAGACAGCGGCACGAGATTTACATGCATATTTAAGATCTCCTCAGCATCAGACACAGAGACAGTGTGCACAATATTTGCATGCATATTAGGCCTCCTTAGCACCTGACCTATTGTCCTGCCTAATTTACATTCCTGTGGAATTATCAAGAAATCAACATCACTAACTTTCAAAGAGTTATCACAGAGAAAAAAAAATTAGAAAAGGAAAAATCAACTAAACACAGAATCAGAGCAGGGGTATTACTTAGTGAGCATAGGCTAACAGACTTCTTGTTTTCTCTTTGGTCCCCCATTAAAATTAGTTTGTTGTTACTGACCCTTAATCATTTGCCATGATTCAAGGTCATATTTCTTAGATCAAATGACTGTTGAGGCTTGAGGGCTTGATCTTGCTTTTTTGGTTTTAGATTCCACAAGTTCAGAAGAAATCAAAGCAGATTGCCTCTGGAATCCTCTTTAAGGTAATTACAATCAACTTTAACTTTATTCAGAACTATTTTCACCCTGTGTTATTTTCAGCCTTTTAAAGTTGGAAATAATTTTGCTCTGTTTTAAATTTGCACAGTTATGGTTCTCTTTAAAGGTGTAATATTTTTCATTAATACCCCGTGCGAAACAGTCTGGGCGGCTTAGACATGGTTCAGGCACGGATTCTGTCTCCAGAAACCTGTGTTTAAGCATTCCGTGCTCCTATGTGAAGTATGTATGGAAAGCCGTGCCTAAATGTGGTCGAGGCACAGACAGGGCACGGGATATTGGCCAAAATATTTAAATGAGATTACACAGTTTTACAAAACCTGTGTCAGAAAGCCGTGCTAGTTTCCATATATAGACTCGCAGATTCTGTAAACCTGTGTCTGAAACGTGTTTCCATGTATGGAGACATGGTTTTTTGGAATCCCGTGTCAAAAAAGCTGTGCTGTATACCATATACCATATAAGGAGTCACGGAATCTGTGCATTTGTCTAGATCTAGGTCATGGCCTTTAGAGAATTTCCTGATGTAACTGTGGATGCCAAAATGGTGACTGAAATCAAACTAACTTCACATTGCTTTACATTAATGATTAGTTTTAGAATTTTAAAAGCTAAAAATCTTATATGAATGTGTCCATTTACTTTCTGTTCAAGATTAACTTTATCAGTTACAATCCATGCCAGTTTTTAATTAGGATTTGAATGATAATGTACAATATTTAATTGTAATTTAATATAGTACCAAAGTTTGCACAATCTGAGAAAGAATTTAGTTTAAATAAAACTTTCACTAGCTAGCAGATTGATGTCACATAAAATATATATGCTATAAAGGATTAGTGAAAGTCCAACTAAAGTCATTCAAGTAAATCGAATATAACTATTTCATCATGTTCATTGTCAACAATGCTATACAGGAAGATCATGGAAATTGAAAAATTGGCTTATTTATTCTAAATTACACTTACTGCAGTTAGTTCAAAAGTGAAGAAATTATCCCAGACTGACATAAATACAATTCCAACTGACATCTATTAGTTTAACATCCTTTAAGTAGAGCAAAAACACACATTCTTAGCTGACATGACCATGAATCCCTTCAATTTAATATTCAAATAAAGGAAGTTATGATTGAGCATGCTCAGTAAAAAGCCGTGAGATATAAATATTAAATAGTTTGAAGCAAAAACTGCCTGAGTTAAAAACAGTCTCCATGGGACACGGATTCCGTGCCTCCGCACTGGTTTCTGTGAGCAAGGATTCCTCATCAGGAACAAACCTACTATCAAATTTCATTTTTCACGAACTTCTTATTAAATATAGCTTAAAATGGCAAAGCCGCAGATGATAAAAATGTTAATGAAAATATTGTCGGGATCGGGATCGAACACAGCTGAAGCGCCTCCGATTTACTCCAATCGTAAAAAGATAAAACCCTGTGAAATTTGACTTCTAACTTGTACTGAAACTATGATAAGAAATTCTTAGCATATTTGGACACGGATGATGTGAAAATCTTGGTATATTTCACCTTCCTTCACCAAATATCATAACTTTGAATTCAAAACATTCAACTTCCGGTTACCTCCGATGCATTCCGAATTTCCTCTGATTACTTTGTATATGCTTATACTTAGCTCAACGATCACCCAGAAGACCAGCGATGAACATGAGTACAACCTTAAATTATCACCTACTCTACTTAAATACCACCCTCTAACTTTCATAGAGAATATATCAATTCAAGACCCTACAATTATCTACAACTGGCTCTCTCATGTAAGGGTTAGGAAATCGTCATCAACAGTAATGTCCTATCGCCTTCTACTCACCTTGCTATTGATAGGGGGTATTGAAACAAACCCAGGACCAGTTAAGTATCCATGTGGAGTTTGTGAGAAACCGTGCAAGTCAAACCAGAAAGCTGTAGCTTGTGATGAATGCAACCAATGGTTCAATGCAAAGTGCATGGGGATATCAGATGAATCATACCACCAATTAGGAAACAGATCAACCTCCTGGTTCTGTACTAACTGCAATAGTTATAACCACTCAACAACCTAATATGATGTGCCATTAAGTAACAACTCCTATTCTTTGTTATCAGATTGTAGTAACAACTTATTGGATAATACCACATCATCCTCAATTGGGAGTCCACTTCTAACATCATCACCGAAAAAAAACAAACCAACAGTTATACCCAACCATCAGCGTAAAGGACTCCGCACAATCATCACAAATTTCCAGTCAATCAAAAACAAAGCAGCTGAACTTGAAGTATTAATAGAAACCACAGCACCTGACGTCATAATCGGCACTGAAACCTGGACAAATAAAGACATACTGTCATCAGAACTTTTCCCTGATACCTATACAGTATACAGGAGGGATCGAGGTACAGACAGCTATGGTGGAGTGCTTATAGCAGTTCACACATCACTCACATCATCAGAGATATTCTCCAGTAAATCAGTTGAACTGATTGCTGTAAAGATCGACCTACCAAATGGGAAACAATTGATAGTATCATCTTTCTATCGACCACCAGGCTCCGGTGAAAGTTACCTTGACAGTTTCAGGGAAGATATTACCTCTCTTAAACAGCAGCATAAGAAAGCAATCTTCCACATTGGTGGTGACTTTAATGCACCAGATATAGATTGGAAGTCGCATAATGTACTCAGCAGGAACAACATCTATCCAAAGTATATCAGCAAGTCCCTAGTGAATACCAGCGAAGAACTAGGTTTAGAACAAGTAATAACCTGCAAGACCAGAGGAGAGAATATCCTAGACCTACTATTTACTTCCCACCCAACTCTGATAGAAAAAATTAGGAGTTTACCACCCATTGGCAAAGCTGATCACGATGTCATCTTATGTGATGCAGCAGTGGAACCAGTAAGATCGAAACACCTTCGCAGAGAGATCTTTCTATGGAAAAGGGCCAATATGGATGCCATCAGAGAAGAAATAAAGAACAGCTATAAGGAATATGATAACATCAGAGACATCAATCTAATATGGACCAAGTTCAAGGGTATGATCAATGATTTGATGAGGAAACATGTACCAACTAAGTTTACTAGGTCCAAGCCATCACATCCATGGATTGATACCCGCCTAAACAGACTAACAAGGAGGAAGAATAGAGCACACCAAAAAGCAAGACGGACCAAAAACAACAGGGACAGAAATCGATACAACAAACTAAAAACATCATGCCAGCGAGAGATACGACTCTCAAGGGAAAAATACTTACAAGAAGTGATATGTGAGGATTCAAAGAGATTCTAGTCCTACATTAAACATCAAAAACAGGACTCCAGCGGCGTGTCTCCACTCAAGGGCCCCGATGGTCTGCTCCACAGTGACACAGTGTCCAAGGCAGAAATCCTAAACAACCAATTCCATTCGGTTTACACAAAGGAAGACCTTACAGATATGCCATCTAAAGGAGACAGCCCACACCCTACTATGAACAACATCCGCATAGGAAGTAGTGGTGTATGTAAACTCCTGAAGGGCCTAAATATACATAAAGCAACAGGACCAGATGCAATTCCATCAAGATTCCTCCATGACTTTGCAACAGAACTAACCCCAATCATGACAAAATTGTTCCTACTTTCACTTGATATCGGAAAAGTGCCAGACGACTGGAGAGAAGCATCTATAGTCCCCATATTTAAGAAAGGAGAGAGACATTTAGCTTCAAACTACCGCCCAGTCTCCTTAACTTCCATATCATGCAAGTTGTTAGAACATATTGTACACAGCCAAATCATGGATCACTATGACAGTAACCATATACTGGCAGATCAACAACACGGTTTTAGATCAAGACGATCATGCGAGTCGCAGCTATTGATTACAGTGGACAAGGTGGCCAAGTCACTGGCCCTTGGAGAGCAAGTAGATATAGTGCTGTTGGATTTCTCCAAGGCCTTTGACAAAGTGCCACACCAGCGCCTTCTACACAAACTGCACTTTTATGGCGTCAGAGGTAACACGTGGAACTGGATCAAGGATTTCCTGGCGAAACGGACACAGCGAGTCACCTTAGAGGGTCAGTCCTCTACCAGAGCTGATGTCATCTCCGGGGTTCCCCAGGGGACTGTGATGGGACCGTTACTATTTCTCACCTTTATCAATGACTTGCCGGAGCATACATCATCAGACGCAAGATTATTTGCTGACGATTGCCTGCTTTATCGAAGAATTAACTCTAGAGCAGATGCCGAACAGCTCCAAAAAGATCTGAAGTCACTAGAGAAATGGGAACGAGAATGGCAAATGGAATTCCTCCCCCAAAAATGCACAGTCATCCATGTCTCCAGGAAACAGCGTCCCATAACCAACAAATACCTCCTCCATGGACACACTCTAGAGTAAGTCAGCAGTGGAAAGTATCTAGGTGTAACACTAAACAATAGGCTGAACTGGACGGAACACATATATAATGTCCGAGCCAAATCAAGCAAGCCCCTAGGTTTTCTCCGTCGCAACCTACAGGGATGTAGAGCCGACATTAAATCTGCTGCTTACAGTACAATCGTCAGGCCCACCCTGGAGTATGCAGCGACTGTTTGGGACCCATATCAGCAAACCCAAATACAAATGTTGGAGAGTGTCCAGAGAAGAGCAGCAAGGTTTGTTAAGGCCAACTATTATGATAGAAAACCAGGCTGTGTAACATCTATGATGAAGGAACTACAATGGGAGCCCCTTGAAACACGCCGACTAAGATCACGGCTCATCATGATGTATAAGATCAGCAATGACCTCATTGATATCCCAGCAACATCATACTTAACACCAGGGGATACTCGGACAAGGGGCAGCAAATACCGTCAACCACTAACATACAAAGACGTGTACAAATTCTCCTTCTTCCCAAGGACCATCAGGGACTGGAACAGCCTGCCAGATCATGTTAAAGAGGCCAGTACCATCGACGGCTTCAAGAAGCAGCTAACCAACACCATAGCTGCTTCCTATCACCCTTAAGTGACATGCAGAACATTGTTTTTAACCGACTTTTAATTGTAAATAAGAGGCTTTTAGCTGTGTTCGACGTGCTATTACACTCGATATCGAGGCCAGCACTGAACAGGAAGAAGAAGAATATTGTCATCTTTTCAACCTGTATAGGGGATTAATTTCACGCATTGTAATTTTTGCGTTTCTCTCTCATCTGACATGATCGCTGTTTCTTGAATTCGCGGAATTGGTATATGATAAAATTTATCTCCCTTGTCTATATAACTACACATGTAAACGACATTCATCAGCGTCATGTCTTTATTTCAGCAGGTGTAGGTTAATATAAAATTGTTAGCTTTAATAAATAATTAATTAAAAAAAGTGCAGTTATAAAAAGTCCTTCACTCTAAATGTCAAATGACTTTCCTATATGCTATTACGATGAGTACATGTGCACCCAAGATCGTCAATACAACGCGGCGAAAACCACTCTACAGAAATAAATGTGTTTATGTAGTTCGATGAAATAATTTCCTTCCACATTTTCAGTAAGTTCGATATTTATTTGAGTGATTTTTTAAAACAAAAATGTCATTAAAATCAAATATATGCATGATTATGCAGGTAACAAATTCACGTGGTAACATTAGTTACGCAAGGGTAATCAAAACCCATGACCCACGTGTTTTGATTGATGAAACATGTAGCCTTGGCTATTGAACAGCTTTTGAACAAACACAATTTAATATCTGCTGATTTAAATTAAAGTAAAAAAAAAAAAAAAAAATAAAGCGTGATGATTATAATAATTGAATGACAAGTACTACTCGTAATTACTGAAATTACTATGTACTGCATGTACATATAATCAGCCTATAGCTTTCGTAGTCTATTCTCAAATTTCCAAATAAAACATGGAAATTATTTAAAATTCATTCACTGTTCCTTGAATTCACGGATTTATAAACACCGTGAATATAGCAAAAATTAACACCGCAAGTTATTTCCCCCCCATACAGTAGTTTAATGTTTGCTTCTTTTTTCCCTTTTTATTTGTATGAAGATATTTTCCCCTATTTCAACCAAATATCGCTATTGTTCCTAATCTTGACGACCCCGGCTCCTGGAATCAAAGGGTAAAAAAATCACTGCAGAGACAGGATTGTAGATTTGCTTTTTAGCTCACCTGAGCCAAAGGCTCAAGTGAGCTTTTCTGATCAAAATTTGTCCGTCGTCTGTCGTCGTTGTTGTTGTTGTCGTCGTCGTCGTTAACTTTTCACATTTTCATCTTCTCCTCAAGAACCACTGGGCCAATTTCAAGCAAACTTGGCACAAAGTATCCTTGAGTGAAGGGGATTCAAGTTTGTTCAATTGAAGGGCCACACCTTTTTCCAAGGGGAGATAATCATCAATTAGAGAAAAATTATTGGCATTATTAAAAAATCTTCTTCTCAAGAACCACTGGGCAAGGAAATATGAAACTCATGTGGAATCATCCTCAGGTAGTGTAGATTTAAATTTGTTCAAGTCATGACCCCCGGGGGTAAGGCGGGGCCAAAATGGCCGATCAAAGTTTTACATAGGAATATATAGGAAAAATCTTTAAAAATCTTCTTCTCAAGAACCACTGGGCCAGGAAAGATGAAACTCATGTGGAATCATCCTCAGGTAGTGTAGA